ATCCATCCATCCATCCATCCATCCATCCATCCATCCATCCATCCATCCATCCATCTATACATACATATATACATACATCTGGAAATATATATATAAATTATTTATGACAACGATATATATATTATTAAATGTACCTTTACATTTCACTTTTCCAAATATCTGGAATTATTTCCTCAATCATATTTGATTGCAAAACGCAAAACTCTTTCCATCTTGTTTTTTTCTAAAAACGTATAACATTCATTGAACCTTTATTTATGCAGGTTAGCCGCATTGAGCCGGTATTGAGAAATCAAGTTTCTACAAAGAATGCAAGATTCTTACCTTTCCTATGATCCTGGGGAAAGGAGCTCTCTGGTTCTCAGTTACAATCATTGGAGGGACCAGTATGGATCGCTTTGATCTGTTTGGTAGCTTTCGGCCAAGACCCAGAACATCCTACACAACACAACAGAGAGGAGACAAGTTTTTTTGAATGGCTTTCATGTATTTTGTGGATTTTATGTTTAGCTAAGACGTGTATTATTTCACTGTACATTATCACCCTTTTTTTTTCTTCTTCTTCTTCTTCTTTCGGCTGCTACCTTCTTCAGGGTCCGCCACAGTGAACTAACTAGCTTATTCATTTACACTTAATTAAAAATAATGTAATTATTTGAAGGTAATCATTGTTAAAATAACTGAGAAAAAATCTTAACTGAAGCCATTCTTGAAGGAATCATCTATCAATTGCGAAATAAAGAAAGAAGCTAAAGATTATTTCTGGCAAGCATATGGGTTACGCGTTTAAAGAGAAAAAATATTCTAAAAGCAAACATGTAATAAGCTCCCCTGCAGCTTGCCTTGGAATTAAATTTATATTCTTTAATTCAGTATTCAGCCCATATGATAAATAAAGACAGAAGAGAGAGGTAGAAAAGCAAAGCAAAAACAAAACTATGGGTAAAAATAAAGAAATGAAAGATGACAAGGTTTTGGTAAAGCAATTGCATCACTCCAGCAGATGGAGTTATTCTGAAACGTTTTTTTGATCTTGGAAACACAATGGCATAATCTGATTTAATTTTCCAGCCTCCTGCTGTTGTAAACTAAGAAAATTTGTTTTACCATTTAAAATTCTGACAAAAGTTCCCTTCTCTACATCTTAAAATTGCTGATACATTTAAAGCTTTTTTTTTCTTGAATATTGATGTATATAAAGCCTGTCACTGGCGCCATGCAGAAGGGGTTGAGTGCTGGCTGCTATCATCAGGGTGATGACCTACAGAGTGTTGACTTCCTGCACACCTGGACACAAGCCAGAGATCACAAACTCACACTCAAATGCTCCCTTATAACAAAACCAATTTGTGTTGTAGGTAAATGTGACTCAGCTCATGGGAATTTGGTCTTTTCAGTATATGGCACTTTTCAAGGAACATAATTTTTTGGGGTAAAGTCTTTCTAACACACGCATGTGGGCACATGCGCACGCACACATACATTTGTCTTTCTATCTTTACGAGGACTTTGCATTGACTTACATTCATTTTTCATTAATTTATACAACCTAACAATGACCCTTACCCTGAACCTAACCCATCCTTAATTCACACCTTAGTCTTAAACCTAACCCCTAACCCACCAATGACACTTAAACCTTATGGGGACCAGCACCTGACTCACCTCACCACCAGAAGAGAAGTTTCTCAGCCTGACCTCAGCCAAAGTGAGGAGTACTTTCAGGAGGATTAATCCTCACAAAGAAATTGACCCAGACAACATCCTGGGAAAGGTGCTGAAAGACTGTGCCAATAAGCTCTGTAAGGTGCTGGCTGACATATTTAACTCCTCCCTCACCATGGCAACAGTTCCCACCTGCCTGAAGATAGTCACCATCATCCCAGTACCAAAGAGCTCCACAGTGACTGGTCTGAATGATTATCGGCCAGTAACCCTCACCGCCATAGTCGCTAAATGCTTCAAAAGACTGGTCATGACCCACATCAAAACAATCATCACCATCAGTGAGGATCCTAACCAGTATGCATACCATGAAAATCAAGGGCGTCAGAAGCATCCGTAATGTGGGGGGGGGGACACAATGATGTGTGTAGGTGTGTGTGTGCGCACATTAAAAAGGTGTTCACTAGTGTACAAAAAAGCAACATTTCACCTAGATTTCCTTTAATTCCACACATGTAAAGCATGTTTCTCACCAAGTTTGTGTAAATTAATTGGTAACCAGGAAAACCTAGAGTGGAGTTTTAGTAGCTTGAGTATTCTCCTATTAATCAAGTGGAATGGATTTGTTCACAAAGAAAGAGACACTGCGTGGCCTGAACTAATATTTTATAGTAAAAGTTGGGGGGGTCCAAATGAACGTTTTTTTAATGTGGGGCGGACTTGTCCCCTTCACATATAATGGTTGAAACGCCTATGTTGAGAATCGATCAACAGAAGACGCCATCTCCTCTGTGGTCCACACAGCTCTCACCCACCTGGAGAAGAAGGACTCCTATGTCCATATGCTCATTGTGGACTTCACGTCCGCCTTCAATACCATGATCCCCCAGACCATGATGGACAAAGTACTCACACTAGGACTAAGTCCCTCCATTTGCAATTGGGTCCTAGACTTCGTAACCAACAGACCGCAGACTGTGAAGATCCAAAACTTCACCTCCTCCACCATAACCCTCAGCACTGGCTCCCCTCAGGGCTTTGTGCTGAGCCCTCTCCTGTTCACTCTGCTCATGTATGACTGTGCATCTACCCATACAGGCTGTCATATTGTAGTTTGCAGATGATACCATGGTGTTGGATGCATCACAAGTAATGATGAGTCCAGCTACAGGCAGGAGGTGGAACATCTGGAGAGCTGGTGCAGGAAGAACAACCTTCACATCAATGTGAAGAAGATGAAGGAGATAATTGTGGACTTCAGA